CCGCCACGCGTAAATTGTCTTATCTTATCTCATCTCTCCCTTCCGTCTACTACCGTGGTGTACCCGTAATGAACCAAACGTTTGTCACGCTTTATACGGCAGATAGGGGCTGCCCGCCTGACGCCCACTGTAGAGGCCCGCGCTATAAGGGTACACGGAGTCCTGCGGCCTTGCGGCGCAGCCAGACATGGGGCCGGGCGGCGCGGACGATATAGGAGACTATGAAGTGCAGGCCGGCTGAGCTGCGATCTCAACTATTTTTAAAGACAGCCCCTCGCGAAACGTCTGTCAGCTGGGATGGGGCGGGCCGACCAATGGGAGGCATTCTCCGTGGAGTATTCACGTCTGGGGTGTTCCCGAATGCACGCTACCGTTGTTGGACGCTTCTTGCGCGGGTGAGATGAAACATTTTTTAGGTCATGCAGACTCATTGCGCGTTCCTTTTTTTGTACGTGCCTGTGGCACGATTAAGAAGAAGGAAGTCACTTCACGGAGGAGGTCTGCACCGCACACTTTTAATTTTTGCACTGCCTGGAATACGCGTATTTCAGACATCTGAGGATTCTTGAAATACCTCTCGGCAATTTCCGACGGTAATTACTTGTGCTTATAACAGCTAAGACGCGACAGAAGAGCAAAGGATCAGAGTGCAGGCAACAGTGCAACCAGACGACGGGAGTGAGAGAGGGTAACAGCTGTCCAAAGCACGCCTCAAATTTAATACCGCTAATTACACGCGGAAAGAGAGAGCGACTCGCGTATTTCAAAGTTTCCTTAGTTGAAAATTTTCAGGTGGATGTTCGTTCTGGAGATATGGAGCTAAATTCCATCTTCTTTGCGCGGGATTCTGTTCGACAAAGAAGAGTACAATGTTGATGAAGAGCACAAATGAAAAGAAAATTAGTGCACGAGTTCAGCTAGACACAATTGTGACGTTTTTATTCGAATAAAACGAGCGGTATTTTCTCTGAGTAATATTGTTTGTAACACACGTCGTTTAGCGCATTACACAGGTGTTCATCGGAAGGTAGATATAAACTCGAAACGGATTCAAAAATGTCGGATGGAATGCATGAGAAGAAATCTGAATTAGAAATAAAACTACGCAAGAAACTCGTCAAACCAGTGATATAACTATACTACAAATGACTTAATATTCTTATATTTTAAATGTATAACAATATTTTTACCGTGTTATGATATTTTCACTGCTAATCAGTTTTCGCCGACATCGTGTTTCCTTCATAAGAAATCATATCTTTGGAATATATTTCTAAAACGTTTTATCTATACAGTAGAAAAACTATAAAGCACATATGTAATTACAGAATTATCAATTTAATATGATATTTAAGGAGGTATTTGCATTCTTTCTTCACGAAAATAGCGTTTCTAGGAATCTTAAGGTCAATTTTATAAATTACTTCATGGTAAATAGCACGAAAATTTGATCGATTAGGAAATTTGAATTTTGTGCATTAAATAATTTAGACAATGATTCAAATTTTCAAATAAAAACTATTATTACTTCGAAAAAAAATGAGTAGGTTCTACAGCTAACTTCGTGAACGTGTTCTTTATAGAACTCTTAATTTCGTTTGACAATTCCGTATTCATAAATCGATTTGAAAAGCTTATAAATAAAGTAAACAGATTGATTGATTGTTAGTGATACGCGCGTCAACTACGGAGTTCATGAGTCCCTTAAGTGCAGTGCATGTTTTTGCACGTGAGAAGGCGGTGGTCTTCCCCCGTTGTATGGAGAGTTCACACCATCGGGGCACCGCACCGACTGGGGCAAGTTCTCATGGTAATGCGCAAGAGGTGAGGATAGGAAAAGGAAGAGGTATTGGTCCGTGGTCCGTTTGTTAGAGTACTGCTCCGGCATTCGCCTGGTGTTGATCGAAAAAAACACGGAAAACTACCGATCAGAGCAGCCGGTCACTAGAATTCTCGTCCAGACAGCGATTGAATTCGACCTAGCTGAGAAGCTAGTGTCAAAATACTGCCACCGTCGGGACTCAAACCTAGGACCTCCCGGTCAGAGGGGCCTAAGTAACATCAGTTGATAAGCCATCTCTCCCGCTACAGTAAATTGACATTTTCAGTAGCACATATAGCATTCACATAAAAAGATATTCCAGAATTATTTTAAAACTGGTTTCCTCGAAGGAATTAAACATGGAAATAGCAAGGGTGAAATAATATTGAAATGCTAAATTTTCCTGAGTGAGGTTACAAAAAATAAAATTTTGCAAGAGAAAATGAAATAACTAAATGTTACTTACTGTAGAAATGAATAAACCGGAAGCCTATAGTCGTTGAAATTTAAAGGAAAATAGTGGAGAGTTCTTAAAGCAAAGTCCATAGTAACACACACACACACACACAAATCACTTCTCTCGTCAGATTTTAATAGGTTCTGTGATATTTACAAAGAATACAGGAGTCGCCTAACGGAACTGATGCAAGTCATTGGGCTCGATGACGAGTCTTGTTCATTACATGAAACAGCGCATTCAGCACTTGTAGAGCACAAGCATATATTGGGGTTGGCAAATTCCCGCGGAAAGGTGAAAGGTACACGCAGTCTGCTGTTTGATCTATTGACCAAGGCATTGTGCATCGAATTAAAGGTATGACGAAAGTGTAATATTGGTTTTTGTCATTTTCGTGTTGAATTCAAAATTTAAAATTCCAACGACTTTTGAATATCACAATCATCGTGATCATTAGACTTAACATCATTCGTTAGGATATAAGGGCGTCCTCCGCTCTGAATTCTATTTCTACCCTTTGACTCTCTGATCCACATGCACCAGCCTCCCATTCCTTCAACAAGTCCGCCTTAGAGATGCCGGCTATCCAGGCGGCAATAAATATATGTACTTTAACCATCGTGGGATATCATAAAATTGTTATAATACTTCTGTCGCTCATGAGGCCAGTTGGACCTCACTACATAAAATACACTTTTCTACTAAACATTGTTTTTATGGAGAAACATTTTAATGAATTCGGAATATTAACGATATATATTTAAATCTTAAACATCAATTAATATGTGTTTTTCCGTATTTTTTCTTTTGAAAACTATGTTCTGAATCGCACTAATAAACTTGGGGTTAAATAATTCAGATCTTAAGAACCTCATGATATCACGCGAGACATGTAATAAATCTAATTACTGATGATATTTTACAGGGAATAGGATTTTTTAAAATTATATTTATTTTATTTCCAAATATTATGTAATATATTCCAGCAACATGTAATTGAATTATTATACGATAATATTCGCGAATACGTAAAATAATACGCGAACCGTTATGAAACAGAACTAAAATGTTGGCACTCATCAGACAACCCTTCTCTCTGGGAGTTTTTATTTCTTTCCCATCCACAGTAATCCTGGGAAGGCAGGAATTTATTATACGCAACGGTATACAGCTGAACCACTGCATTGCGTCTTAGGCAGCTAGCTTCGTCTTACTATCTAATAAAAATTACCTTATTCGATTCATTAACTGCTAAACAGCGTTTCATCCTGTCGGACTCATCAGATAGACATGCTTAAGACGCTATTGTTGAACCTTTTTCAAAATGAGTTTATCTAGCTTGCTCGATTGGTTGATTAGTGATTCCGAGTGCGTCAACTGCTACGCTCATTAGTCGCGTTAGTGTAGTGCATGTGTTTCTTCGGGAGGGGTAGCGGTGATTTTTCCTCGCTGGATGGTGACACCCGGCGCTGCCCTACGTTCGGCTAACTGGGTTTTCCCCCAACTAAATGTTTCCCACCAGGAAGGTATCGCCCCAGCCGTGAAATCTCTGAGTTCCTGACCGATGTCTCGGCATGGTAGTGTAGTGCATGTAAGTAAGAGGTGGAGTTAGAACAAGGAAGGGGGAAGGAAAGATCGCAAGCGGTCCGTTCGTTACGGAACTCTTTCGGTATTCGCCTGGTATTGATTGGAGAAACCACGGAAAACTACCGATCAGAGCAGTCGGCCACAAGGATTCTCCTCCAGACTGCGACTGAATTCGACCTAGCTATCTAACGAGTGTCTAAATTCTGTCACTGTCAGGACTTGAACCTACGACATCCCGGTCAGGCGCACTGCAATGACATCAGTTGATGGCCTGAGCCATTTATTATTTACTGCGATGTGGTCACTGTGATTCGTTGCAAAGCATACTGCGACCTGCTGGCACAGTCAATGGCGTTGCCCCGAGGAAGTCACATCACGCAAGGGCAGCAAGCCGTGAAGTGTCGTGCAATCTGCCTACCTTCCTTCTCCCAGCGGATCTCGCTGATGGGGTGGCCCGCGACGCGGCAGTGGAAGACGGCGCGCTTGCCGGCCACGACGCTGCGCTGTGCCATGGGCTTGACGAAGGGCGGGCCGCGCACGCGCAGCTCGGCCGCGTGCGTCGCCGCGCCCACCGCGTTGCTCGCCACGCACTCGTACACGCCGCCGTCCTCCGCCGCCACCGACGACACGTTCACGTAGCCCAGCACCGAGTCGGCGGCGGCGCGCCCGCTCACCCTGCGCCGCGCGTCGGGGGCCAGCGGCGCGCCGTCCAGCAGCCACGAGATGGTGGGCGGCGGCGACCCCGACGCCTCGCAGCTGGCGAACCACGCCGGGCCCGGCTCCACCGTCTGGTTGGAGAAGGTGCTCACGAAGATGGGGGCTGCGTCTGCGCACACAAGGGGAGAGCGCCGGCCGTTTTATACATGTTGTTCACGTCAAATGCAGTTGAAAACTATGTGAGACGTACAATGTGCTATCTGTGCAGGGTTTCTTGAACCCTGGCAACTCACACACATTTAAACTGAAATTATGAACTAGAAAAGAGCGTTTTTGCCGTGAATTCGGAAAGTATTTGCTCCCGTGTTGTAAAATACATTTCTGTGAGTCGGAGGTATACGACACTATGTGACATTTGCTAAATTTTACAGCAGAGCAGTTTGGAGATGTTTTACTTTGGATTTGGATGTGGACGTGGTGTAACTTAAAATCACTGTAACTTCACCAATTCTTGATGTACGGATATGACTCCTTGGTAGAGTACGATATACGGTATAATATATACTCCTTGGTAGAGAACAAGAAACACATTTGATTGTGCCAATCAACGCATTTCAGCCAAAAACGGTTATAGTGTTCTATACCTCCGGCCCACAGATTTGAAAACGCAAATTAGTAACAGGGTTTGGCTATTGTCTTGGCCTATGTCATGTCACGGTCACACGGGGGCATGCTACTGCCACCAGTGTGTAACGTCAACATCAATAGATTGTGTATCTTGTAGGGATGGGAGGAGAAAATTATCTTTAAAGATATAAACATATCGAAAGTACCGACTGGCTACTGAGCGAGATTCTTTCCAGATGTTCGCATCGTCTTCGTTTTTTTCTTCTTAGTTCATCCTACAATGGTTTAACCTTTAATTCCTATCATGTATACGTTTTTACGTAATTAATACAAATACTTCGAAAGGTTAACTTATTTTTAAAGTATTCATCTAAATTAAATCACGATATCATGCAACTCACACAGAGACAAATCAATAGACACACTAATAGATTAAAAACACTGATTTATACATATTATTCGTGAAGTCTCTTGATGATAGTTACTGTGGATGATAAAGGCAAAATGAGTAAATATATTCACTTATAAAGAAAAATAATTGCATTCTTACTTCTTAATTTTTAATAATCAAAAAAATGTCACTTATCTATCCAACTTCCACTTTTATTCGACTTCCTATTCGAAACGCTTTTGATATGCAAAATATTACTCATGCGCACAGTTGCCTTAGCAGTTAAAATACTTCTTTAAAATCAGAAAAAAATGAAAATTGGCGTAGAGAAGTCTCCGTGCTAACCACACGTATCCCCTTAACCCGTGGCCGCGAGGCCGGGACGCTGCTGGAAGGCCCTGGCACGTACGCGGGCCGTCACGACAAGTATAGGTGAAAGACAGGTGCTTATTTCGTGTGGAAACACGAACTTTTATTGAGGCAGGTTAGTCCAATTGAAGACTGTTTATACACTAACATATTAGTTACATGTCAAGGACCTCATAAAGAAACCTTGTCTTTGACAATTTTGTATTTGTATTTATCCATTATGTCGCTTAAAGGGCAATTGGCTTCGGTCCCGTTAGATACCGGGGATTTTAGTCGGTCACCCAACCAAGAAACCATGATGTCTCGAATTTGCTTAACCTTCGTGACTTCAACAAATTCTGTTAGCGAAGCCGCTTTCGCGGTCGGGGACTTTCAGTAGAATCATACCAGCGTTCATCTGGATGACAGAGAAATCACTAAAACCCCGTTCAGGATGGCCGGCAAGAGGATTGAACCCGAGCCTCCCGAATGCAAAATCAGCGCGCTAAGCCCTGAGTCACTTCGGTCTTTGACAAAAACAGAGGGGAAAATTGAATTAAGACAAGCCCGTTCCTAACAACAAAAGATTTTTAAATGAAAAAGAATCGTTTTTGAATGGTTCATAAGGCTTACAGCTGTGCTATAATGTGCAATTTTAAATGTTTGTTAGCAATACGAAATGATTGCTGGCAGTATTTATAACTGAGGATCAAAAACTCAGAATATACGGAGATCAATCAGAATGTAATGCCTCCTATTTTTTTTTATATTTATTACATAAAATTAGGTAAGTGAAACATTTGAATTTGGCACTATTCCTCAAACCTTCTTCTACAATCCCCTGTAGTAGTAGCTTTCTGCGTCAACATGTGGCACCTCAGCAGTCGCTTAAAAGTGGCTGACACCGATGTTCGTATGAGACAAAGATGCGTGATTGAATTCTTGAATGCATAAGCTGAAGTGCCCATTCAAATTTATAAAAGACTGAAGAACGTGTGTGGTGATGCAACCTTGGATGTCTGCACTGTTAACGATGGGTTCGTCGTTGCAACGAAGTTGAAGAAGTGTCCGCTGGTGATCCTGGGGGGCATCATTCGTGGAGACCGTTGGGTGACTGGAGATGAATTGAGGGAGATAATACGACACAATTCATCTGCAATCACCTGACGGTCACCATGAATTATGTCATCGACTTGCTGAAAGTTGCATGCTGTGACTGCAGTCATCGACCTGTCGCTCCGCTTGTCGTCAGCCAAAGACGTTCGCCCTTCAGCTTTCATATAGCGACGACCCCATCGTCTAACAGTGCAGTCATTCACAGATTCATCGCCATACAGTCTTTCATGAACGAGAACGGATTTCACCTTCTGCATTGAAGAATTCAATCACACAACTCTGTCTCATTCGAACATCAATATCGGTCATTCTTTAAGCGACTGCTGTGCTGCTGTAGGTCTGTCACATGTTCAAGCAGAAAATTACTACTGCAGTGGATTGTAGAAGACGGTTTGAGGAATAATGCTAATTTCAAATTTTCCACTTAACTAATTGTATTTAAATAGAAAAAATAGCAGGCATCAATCAGTTTCACTGACCCTCCTGACTACAGATGAGCGCTTGAAAACTTTACAATAATCTCTTCACGAATGTAATCACAAAGGTAATAAAAAATTACAAATTATATTGTGGGTTTCATACTAAACATACGTTCGTTAATATTAACATAACTCGATAAAATTCTTCGGAATAATCTAGATGATGTTTTACCAAGTAGTCTACGCAAGCTCTCCATTTTCATATTTTGGTCTTTTCCTTATACTGCGATGCGTTTTTTTAGGTAAGTCGGTGGTCGAGATGCATTTCAAGATAATGTGCTGTTTCTGAATGAGGCGTGTAGGAATTATTCATTTTGATTCGTGGGGACGTTTCCGTCTTCGCCATAAATATAACATGTTTTGATTTCCGTTCGATCTGTTTTATGCGCTGTTTATTTATGCAGTTCAAAATATTTATTAAATGCCTTCGCGATACTTTAGTACCCACTTTATGGTAGACGTTCTTAGTTACAATCTGCTGATAGCAGATACTACATTATACTGCAATAAATGTGGCGTCATTTTTATGTTTATCATGTTCCCCGTATTTTAGTCTTGCTAGCAGATTTATTTTCATTTTCTGACCCATAGACTTAGTTTGCTCTCTTTTATCACTATATCTGCGAGTGTAGCAAACTGAAGCAGTCATAAACTTCGGTTTAGATACTACACAGCTTTTCCCATAAAGTTATTTTCTGTTTGCCTATATTAATATTCTAGTTGAAGTAAAGCGTAAATGAATATTTAAAATCATGTATGGAAAGGTGATTTCATTTTATCAATGGTTGGTATATTTTAAACTCGACGCAATTCTAACGATTTGATTGTCAGTCATAATGTTTTTTTTAGTTCTTTGATCACGAAAAACAACCTATAAGCGACACGTTTTTCAAAGAGTATGGCCAAAACATATCAACGCTTAAAAATGAATTTACACTAAATGATATCTCAGAGCAGATGATGAGTGATAGTTAGTTGTTGCAAAAGCAAATTTTTCATTTGGTCTTCCCATATACTGGTTTTCACATTAAACAAATATTTATTTAACTTTAAAACAGGTAAAAAGTGTGAGACGTACTAGAGAGAGAAGAGAAATCTGTGCACTTTTCTGGGGTCTGGGATCCCTGCCTTAACTCATAAACATATTAAGTTGAATAGTGAATGGTGGTTGCAACAAGCCTTTTTGACAATATTTTACAAGAAACTATTCGCTAACCTGTAATAAAATATATTCGTAAATCAGGCCCAGATTGTGACTTATCTCTCATCGTTCCCTTCGCGAAATAATCGACTTAATGCCGCAAGAACACGGTGAACAAATATTTGATTACCTATACTGATGTTGTTCGATTGAATCTTGCAGTGGCCTCTGTGCAGCTGACTTTCCTGTGACTTTTCTATGACATCGTTCGAACGCTTCGGGCAAGCTGGAGCGACTGAGTACTGAAGAAGGTTTTATTCCCACCCTATTATACGCAAAGAAAATTAGTGAATTACTTTACAATTGCATTTGACTCGATTTTTAAAGAGCAGTTTTGCTCATGACTATTTCAATATGTCTGGGTGTGTCTGTGCTTCAAGTAACATGTAGATAAGATACATACTATTTTCATAATAAGTCAAATAAACAAAGTAGTTGCTTTGGCATTAGGTTGTAAGGAACTTAAATAAGTAGGAAAGGACATACTGCGCAGGAAATTTTCAATATTTGCGTAATTGTTTCTAAAAGAAACGAATGTTTTTCGAGACCATCTATAGAACAAGAATCTTCCTGAGCGTATGCGTGTAAAGCCCTGGGAAGACTAAGTACTTTTCTGGAACTGCAGATGAAAAAAGGATCAATGGCAAATGACGTACAGGCGCTTGTCATGAGGTACAGAATTATGTTATCTCTTCGCGCTGCCTATTCCCTCTTGTCAGGAAATAAGTCTATGAATGTGGACACATTCAATAAATGATTTTCCGATCTATTCCGGAAGTCTCTTTGAATACATATACGAAACCGTTTTGAAGAGTAACTGGCGTGACTTCTTACTAGGAATAATGAATATTTAAACACTCATTACTGCCGCACGTTATCTGAATGAGGTTTAACGAAGAGCCAATATTTAACAGAACGATTTATGTGTTAACAATTTGAAGACTACAAATTGAAAAGAAATTTAATCTTTTAGCCATTAACTAAAGAACTGGAAGTGCAGTATTATGTTCGAAGGCATGCGAACGATACATATTTAAAACGTACTTTAGGTAATTTTCGTTTTCATGAAAACAGTAAAATTATTTTACTATCGTTCAAAAGACCATCTAACATTTAAGTGCAGCTGCGCAATATGTACAGCACTTTGTAAGGTTTATGGTTCAATGGTCCCGTTTGACTAGCTCCACAATTTATATATTTCGCAGTATATAAAAAGAGAGCAAATTGATGTTTTATTGATTTAAATCAGATTTACGTTGTCAATGTTAGTATAGTAGTCATAAAATTAAAGTGAAGATGATAATAGATCATGAAGTTTCGAAATATTGGGAGAACTTTATGAGGAATTGTGCCGAGAAGAACTGCTAATTACCTGTCTGTGATCTGGTCATAAGAGAAGATTCTGAAAACCGATAGGTATCAAGCATGTTACGATACCTCAGCGTAAGGATCATTAAGTACTGAAGACATTGTCAGTGTAACCTTGTCTGGGCGAAAGGAAAACGTTTTACATACTGATTCTATTCGTTACTCTCGGGTTTAATGAAATTCACGAGGTATTCATCTGCCAACACTCTTGTTTCATGGAGAATCAATCGGCCTCGGAACATGATACCAAATTTACGTAGTAATACAAAATTCAGTGGAGTCAATACACGCGTATTTATTTACCTTTTATGCTCGAAAGGTGATCTACCATGAGTTTGCTCGGATACATATACTCAAATATTGCGATCCCGTCGCGTCTTATTTGGAAAGAGCTGCTTTCTGAGAACCTATCGACAATGCTCACTGCTGCCTGCGCTGCGGCGGTGGCGCGATCTCCCGGGCATCTTTGAAAGTAGTTTCAAACTTCCGTTTCAAAGAGTTTCATACGAGAAATGAATTCTTTCTCTTTGTTACATATTTCTCGGATTTTTGAGGGGAAAAAACTATCTCGGGCGCTGAACGTTTGAAATATATGCTCTTTGCTCTTAATTTGCCCCAAAAAATTGATGTAAATGATTGTATTTCGAGTACATGCCAAATTTGAAATTATTTGGCTGACCATGTGCCAACAATAGAAAATCTGTATCACGAACAGCAGAGCAATCATTAAAATAGTTTTCCTCTTTACTCCAAGAATGTGAATCTAATGAAACTGTCCAAATATCCACTTTCCTCTCGGCCTTCCGCGGTCTCTGCTTGCCCCTGATCTATAATCTATTACCGACTGGTTACCGTGCGAGATTCTTTCCAGATGTTCGCATCGTCTTCGTTTATTTCTTCTTAGTTCATCCTACAATGGTTTAACCTTTAATTCCTATCATGTATACGTGTTTACGTAATTAATACAAATACTTCGAAAGGTTAACTTATTTTTAAAGTATTCATCTAAATTAAATCACGATATTATGCAACTCACACAGAGACCATTGATTTCTATCATATATCAGTGTTTATTTACTTTTCTAGAACGTATGGTCAAGTAGCTTGCTTCTCATAGACTTAATAGCTACTACCCGCATTGTGGATTTGACATTTTTGTGATTACTGTAGTTTCATGGTAATTGCTTTTCTAACATTACAGATACAGTTTTCCAATAATTAAAACATTATCTCACAAATTGTATCATTTCTATCAGTTAATTTTACTTGCACTTTTGGATATACTCGCGTATCAACAGAACACAAGTTTCATCTTGTCGAATTTGTTGTAATGTTTTTCAGTTTATTTTATATACTGCATTTGTGGTCAAATTTTTCGTTACTACGTATATTTGACGCCCTATCGTACCTTCGAGAATTCATAACAATTTTAAATTTGTAGTACACAACGTTGGGTAGTTCATTGTTTTTTCTTTCTGTGTTATATTAAATAGAGAATAACTGAGAAATGAATAGCATGCATATGAACGTATAAGTATTGACAAAAAAAAATAAATAAAAGCAATAAATATACTTTGCTGACTCTCTTAAATAAAATAAATTTCAGTCACATGCAGGATGTTAAAAAATAATTTAATGAAATATGAAGTAATATGATATTCAGAACTTTAACCGTCACATATGAATACCATTCTGGAACCTGGAGAACACCAACGACGGGAGTCAACGGCGAATTTCAGAATAAATTGCAATATAACTGACAGGCTATTTTATAAACTTGAGAAATAGTGATATATATATATATATATATATATATATATATATATATATATATATATATATACTCATATATAATATTCCGCAATATATTACAATACTGTTATGAATTATGTGTTAAAATATTTTCACTTTTTGAGGTATGGCAATGGCATACATATTTTGAACATTTTCTGTATTTGCGATCCTTTTGACGGGGACACCAACGGCGACATACACTTCGTTGCTCCGATATCACAACTGTTATCTATATCGACAGATACCTAAATAAGATTTTATCGTTAGTGGACAGGCCTGGCTGCAAACGTACTGCCGAGTTTCCACGAAACGATTACATATGACGAAGGTTTTGGATTTTTTCTAAACATCTGACAAGCATTAAAAGCCGAAACTATCACTAAAGGTTCAGAAAGGTTTTAGTATTAAAGATCTTAAACGATGAAACAGTAACTTTTTACCTTAGCGAAGTTAGTTTGTATACTATAGGGGGTTCATTGTTGACTCCCCTTGGTATGCAACTGTTAAGTAATTACGTAAGTCTCAAGCTGAGCCAATACAACGTACAAAAAAGGCCACTAATTTATTAGCGAACTTTTACATCTGTGGCCATGGCAGTGATTATGAGCTCTCTCTGTGCCGCCCGTGCAGCACCATGAAATCACGTTACACGCTCCCTGCTCGCTTCCCAGACTCACCAACGCCGAGGCAGCAAATCTTTCTCAAGTTCCACGGGGGCGTAACACCATCCTGAAATAGACGCGCGGACGGCTGAGTTAAGATATAAAATACTACCTTCCCCACGTTCTATCTCGCCAATAATTTACACCAATTATGACCTAGAATTGAAAAATATCGTTGTGGACTGAATAGCACGTACGTGTCATTAAAGAAAGTAGGATTCGTAGCGAACTATAATTAATATATATAATAATAACACAGAAATAGCATGAAGTAACGAAATGGCCGTAAATGCTATACCGTTACGAAACATTTAAAAACGTACATATTTTACCTCATACTTTGACGTTTTATTTTAATTATTAATTCGGCAATAGAACTTTTTATACTTCATTTAATATAATGAGCAATTACTAAAACCCAATACTAACTACGGGACGTTTTTTCTATGAATATTAGAGTTTGTTTTGTCGTACTATATTTCGTAATTTAGCTCGTGTATGCAGTAGTTTGAACGCACTTGAAATATATGTCAACATTCATTGAATCCTGTTTGTTAAAAGTGTATTATTACTCTCTATATAATGGAACAGAAGTAGAAAGAATCGTTTTCAACGTACTACATTACACATCAACCATTCCATTGGGAGGGTATTTGACAGGATGTTATTATAACTCAAAATATAATAAAGCAACAACAGGCCATTATTGTGCATTATTCATCTATAATAAAATTCAAAATTTCCTCTTGTCGTCTGTGAAGTAAATATACGTACTCGCTCACTTATTCAGCGAGTAGAGCTGCAAGCGTGTATTCATTTTGCCCCCAATTCGAAATCATTTCGGAAGTAGTACTGATGTGAAACTTAAAGATAGTGATTCACTTTGAATTTCTCTGCATATTAATATTCTTGTTTCTTCCAGTCGGTGTCCAGGAATTCTCGAGCAGGTACTGGCACCGCTCGCATTATTCTGACTACGTAAATGAATCTCAAAAACGTTGTCACGCAGTACGATCGAAGTGATACTATGTAAGTAAGAGTGTCGAACGATAATCCGCACGATAAACCATTCACTTCAAGGATGGAACTATTGTAGATGCCTCATAACGTGTCAGAATACGTATGTGTCCACTCCAAGTTGAAAGTTCCTCGCCCATCTAGTTCCGTTCTGTACTAGCAACGCACCTCAAAGCGTGCCAATTAAGTTGCAACCTATTCTCAAGCACAGTGGCATCAAAGTGCTACCACAATTGTACAATTGCCGAACAACGAACCCCACGGTTGACTTATTCTCATTCACTTCAAGAGTGGAAGCCTTGTTGATGCTCAAGAACGAGTTCGAATACGTATGCGTGTATTCCGCGTTAAAGGGCTCTCCCCAGCCTTCAGGCAAATTTCCGCCCCGCTTTCCGTCCGTTCTAGAAGCGGCTCGGGTCTAGAACTTCCCGCAACGAGCTCGGACAAATATGCTCAAGTAGCGCATGGCGGCAGGCGAGTCGTCGAAGCGTCGAGGCAGCGAGGCGGCGAGGCGGCGAGGCGGCAGCGAGCCGGCGGCAATCCGCTTACCTCCGAGGCGGAGCTGCGCGGTGCCCTGGGCCGTCTCCTCGCTGTTGGAGACGACGCACTGGTACATGCCGCGGTCCGCGCGCTCCACGGCCGCCAGGCGCAGCAGCTGCGGCTGCGGCAGCTGCACGCGCCCGCCCGCCATCAGCGGCCGCCCGTCCTTCAGCCACGACACCGCCAGCTGCGGGTGACCCTCCGTCGTGCAGTTGAGCCCCGCCGCCTTGCCCACGTCCACCACCTGGCTCTGCGGGCTGATGTAGGCGGACAGAGGAGCTGCAACAGACAATTGGCGGATTGCTTAGCGGACAACACGACACTAGCCCTGTTGGAGCCGCAAATATTCTTTTGTATTTCATTTGTCGGATTTTTTGTAAAGTAAACTAATAAATAATGCTAATGATGAAGATAATAATAATAATAATAATAATAATAATAATAATAAGAAGAAGAAGAAGAAGAAGAAGAAGAAGAAGAAGCAGAAGAAGGGAACTAACATAATTAATATCATTAACCAAAAACTTTATTAAAAATACAAAATGCATTATTATTTTATTTCGTAATATTTAGCTCATATTGAAAATCCATTAACAATCTTTCTATCTCTTCAGAATAACGGAGCGTGACTTGCGGTCGTAATAAAAAAATGTTGATTTAAAAAATGGATAATTGGACGACGTTTATACAATACAAATGAAACGATGTGACGAGAGGAAACAGAAACATGTCTGAAAGGATTCTCTAATTGAGGCGTTTGGTTTTCAATCCAGATGATTCCATTATATTTTGCCAAAATTAACTATTTTTGCTGAGTTTTGCTTAGTTTTGGAAAGTGTTCATAATTTCACGAATAGATGTAATTCGAATCCAGCTATTTACATCTAAAATGTGGTGTAAACATATACTGTTCATATCAAACCGCGGGTGGACGCCATGTGATTTTTGATTCACTTTTAAAATGTTCGCAAATGGAATCTGGTGGTTTTGATTGTAAACGTCTCAATTGCACGAACCGTTCTGAACTTATGGTCACTTCACTTTTTCACAGTGGACCGCTCAACTTCGACGTCCCTTGATTCAAATATGTACTTCATGGCTTAAAGGAGTAAACTAAGCTGCTGAACAAAACTTCACAAAAAGGATTTTCAAAATAGCACGCACAGTGCTCAATATCAAGAAACAAAATATTCTCATTTACCAGTACAATAAAATAAATATTTTAACAAAAACGTCTTTTCGAATATTGCAACGTAATTACAAAAGTAATAAATACGTGACAATATACACGAATCCTTGAAATACTTTTGCGTAGTTTCATTTCTCACTCTACTGCATATGTTGTTATTGATATATTGATAAAAATTGAAAACTAAAATGAACAGCCTTTTATATTTGAAATTAAATGGATCGGTGATGGGCATATTGCATGAATTACACGGTTAAAGTTTGACAGTTTAAAAAAAGCATTATGGTACCCATTACGTCTGAAGGTTTACTATAATAAGTGTCTTATTAACTCTTCTATTATGCGACAGCGGTAATTTTGCTTCTGTAAGAGAGAAAAAATATCCCAAAAGAACTGTTCTATCTAGTACCTGCATGCATGTGATAAGTGTGCGCAGAAGTGTATACTAAAAGATATAGAGGTCGTTTTACGGTTGACCATATATCAGCGGAATTGGACGACACAGAGCTCCGCTTGTTCCCTTTTTGTAGCGATAACAACGAATGCGCAGAAAAGCAAATTAGTTGCACTTTCTAATAATGCATACTGCATACATATATCCCGTACAACCTAATTTAGATATTAAAAATAAGAAGGAATGTCGAAATCTGTTAATCTGAAATAAGCAATGTGAGCTCTTCTAGAAGATAAAATATTACTCTGAATATTTAATATAATATCGGATAGTAACGATTAATTTCATATGCTCTTCAAGAGTTCATTGTGTATTGGCGGTTTACCGAGCAGTCATTGTAAAATGAACGCGAATACAATTATAATTCATATAATGAAATAAATTCATCAATTTTTCAACAAAGGAGAAAAACGCATATGAAATAGCATTAAATGGAATATACCTTTGCAGAAATTGTATTATAAAACACAATTTATTTCAGAATATAATTCTAATATTAATACAATTTTAGAAAGGAATTGTAATTTTCAAATAGAATTATATTTTAAAATATAATTGTGGTAAGAAAATGAAACCCAGGAGAAACAACTGAGCGTTAAAGGATAATTGGCCTGTTGGTCGCCAGACCAAAATGCTCCCTCCATTGCCAGTTACTCCTCCTGCAGCCCGTTCTGATAGGCAAGCCGCAGGACACCACTGTACAGCAGCTCAATGTTCTTAGCTGCAAGGGGTTTTCGGTCACAGCGTATCCTTGGGCTCCGAGCAAACGAGGCGAGCATCTGCCAGAAAGATGGAATCGCAGTCTTTGACTGAAGCAAACAACGTCGATAAAGAGAGGGAGGGATCTGTAATTAGTTTAGAAACAGCCGTGCTCGAAGAACAAATAAACATTCAGAAGTATATACCAGTTCAGGTTTGAACATTTTAACGAGTCGCTTTTCAGTGGAGGTTGAGCCCGCAGAAAGGAAAAAAAGTACTCCCAGAACAGGTCAATGCATTCTTTTTAATGCGTAACATTCGTGTAATTCTCCTTTGTGAGTTTACGGTAATTACACTCCAGCCCCCCGGTATCGCTTTCGTGTGGCGTTGCGTTTGCCTTCCGATCCTTTTTCAACGAGTCCCGAAACCACAGACTGACGGGAATCTACTTCCTCGCCGACGTAATTACACTCTCCATCCCCCCCCCCGACAGCGACTAACAGCAGACGATCGACAGCGCGCTTCGCAAGCGGCGGCGCCGCACAGTGCCCAGAAATGCAATTCCAGACGCACGCAGCCCCGCGGCGTAAGGCCCAGCGCCCAGGGCCACTGCCCTCGCGTGAGACCGCGATGACGAGTGAGTCGATCGGTGAAAAAAGTATATTTTCACCAGAAAGAATTGGAAGCAGTGCCAATAGTTTGCGCGGAGACGAACTGTTGTATGAAGGGAAAAGGTCAGACACTTAAAGTTGGTTATTTGTCATAAAATTACAAGGTAGTTTTGCATTTGCACATTCCCTGCTCTCTGTGTAACTATTTTTGATTCGAGAAAACATTATTTTCATACGCGCAATAATTTACTTTAGTTACTCTTTAAATTAATTAGGCGAAACACAGTCATCCCGCTCACATAAAATCCCATTTCGTAGCCAACTAGCACAATTTATTTTTCACGGCTGCCTGCGTTGACTTTTTTTTCACAGGGCGACTACCTGTTAATTCCAGTCTGTCGCGGAGCAAAGGGAGATTATAAGTCTTGTACAGGCTTTTCATAAACAACGTGTCCACATTAAACCGCATTTCCGGGTACTGTGCAGCGTCGGCGGCTCAGGGGCCATTGAGGTCCGCGCGGTGACGTCAGAAGCGTTCGCGCGTCGGCCGACGCGCTGTCTCACGCATCAGCAAACCCTCCCCTCCCCTTTTAACCCCGACGGCCCGCTCTTCGCTCGTCGCGCCCCGCCCGCTTGCCGTCGCGGCCCGAGCGCGGGCCGGGGAACGAGGACAGGGTGCGCAAAGTGACGCCGAGATAAAATAATTTTCCCCTCGTTTGGCGGCGGGGCACCCGCGCCTCCCGAGGTGTCTCCGCGCTCGTCTCTGTGCGCCAGTGTGTTTGTGACAGTGCTCTCTAATAACTTCCGAGCCGTTTGGCCAATTTACTCCAAGTTCTCCCGCCGAATTCTTGGAGGAACACTTATATCATATTTTTCGGACCGTCCGGGGAAATGAGAACCAGAGGAAGGGTGGTGAGGAGGATGAGGAGGAAAGGGGGGGGGGCTTTGACCTAATTTCGCAAAAACGTGCAACTTTACTTAATGACCCAACTTGGGAAGCAGAGGCCAGCGTGACTAGACGAACGTCAACGCGGCGACGAAGGTAAAGAGACGCCCCGCGACGACTGCCGGGCAAAACATTAATTCTTTTTTTATCGCGGCTCGACATCAGCTGCTTTAAATCACGCTCGCGCTCCGCAGGTGCGTTGAGTGCGAGCGCGAGGAGGGAGCCGCCGAGGGTAGCAGGAGGGAGTCGAGGGAAGGGCGCGCGGGCGGCGGGGCGAGGCGAGCGGGGGCGGAGGCGAGCGCCGCGCGCGCGAGTGCGCCGGGCGGAAAAGCATTAGGGAAACATTCGACGCCGCAAGTTTCCGACCCGCGGGGCCTGCCCAGGGAGGTCCTCAATGAGCCAGCACGAGAGCAGTGAACCGCGAGCCACACCTCCCTCCCCCGGGTTCCACCGCCGCCTCCTCACCTCGGCCCCGTCCCCGTCCCCGCCCGCTGCGGTGAGAAATGGGGAAGGGGTGAGCGGGGGCGCAGCGCTTTTGGTGAGGTTTCAAGGAGGGGCGGTGATCGGCCAACGTGAGGGGGAAAGTCAGGGGAGCGGGTGTGAAGCGGGGATCGGAGGTGGGCAATGGCCCTTGCCGATCCGCTGCCACCCGGTGCCACGGCGCAGGCTCATGCCTTGTTAAGTCTTGCGCTGTGACGTTTCGAGGGAAACCCACGCAACCCCTCCCCGGCCCCACCCCTCCCCGCAAGGACGCGTGTTTTTCACGCTATGCGCTACGCTTTTCCTGTCTCATTCCTGCGCTTTTATTCACACTTTCCTTAACTGAACGTCTCTGTCCTGTATCCAATCAGGTCAGGATATACAAGAAGTAGTACCTCATTCTTCAAGCTAACGTACCGAATTCTCATTGCAGTTTATTGGAACGATTTATTCCACTATTCGATAATCATACCTTGTGTCTTTTTCGTCTCCCTTTTCTCATTATTATCTCTATCGCCCGACAACTCCTCGCTGCACTTCATCTTCCCGCGCTTCAGCCTCCACACACAAATATATCGTTTTACACCATCTCCCACTACACTGCGCTCCGGGAGTAGTAAACCCAGTCCGTCGCCTATCTCAGAAACACAGCATAGTCGCGAACAGGATTACCCCGTCGCCCCTACTTTCCCCGCCTCCCCTTCTCTGCACTCCTCCCGTGTGCTCCGTAGAGCTCGGAGACTGCGACAGCTGCAGGTAATGAAGGCGTATATACGCCGAGGCGGGGAACGGACGCAACGTATTGCCGAACGCCGGGAACTCCGGCAACCGCAGGCGACAGTCGCGGGCCAACGCCGCGTAACGCGCGTGTTCCCTCCCTCCGGCGACGCTCCCCTCCAATTGGCGAATAGCGCACGGCCGGCCGGGGAAGCCAGTCGGACGGAAAGGAGCATTTAAGGCGCCCCATTCCTCGACCGAGTCTCTCGATGACTCTCGCGGGACCGAGCGAGGAATGCGCGAAGGTAAAAGCAATTTTCTATCGTGCACCTGGTGGGAGCGGTGGGGCTGGAAGTACGCGCGGCGTTTGGGAATTAATTTTATATACGGAACAATCGCGGCCCTTTTGTTCCTCCAATGCGGAGAGCTTTTACTCACGTGATCGACGTAGCAATTTGCCTGGTAATTTGCGCGTACAATGGGTGAAGGAACCCTGAAGAAATACTTTGTGCAGTTTTGCGATGTGTAACATGAGAGCAGTGGGTTTACAGAAGCGTGGCAGTTTTAATTGATGAATCAACGTATCCGTGTATTTAGCTTTATTTTCCATCATGTGCTCTCATGAGATATGTGAGCTAATGAATTGTTATTAAAATAATGTAAACGTTGGTATTTGATATTTTTAATATTTATCTTTTAACCTGCCAAAGCGAGGTGCATTAAAGTTTGCAATACCACGAAACTAAAAGTCATTATGGTTTAGGGCACTGTTTGCTATTATGAATTATTTACGGAATTACGAGGAACTCTATTCGTTAAAAACAATGAATCTTATAGTAATGTTTTTACAAATAGTTTGCTAATGATCCCAAAGTTCCAAAAAGTTTATATTTTTGAGAAGTCATTCTTCAATATTCACCAGCATGCACCAAGATATTTGTATTACGCAAAATAACAGGCTTGATCAGTTTATGAAAAACCACAAGGACTGAAATAGGGCAATTACATCTCAAGAATACGAGCTTCCAACATTAATACCAACATCGCGAAGAAAATGAAAAGCATTATCAAGTTTATAAATTGAAATGCCAAAGGATTTAAAACAATTTTCCCCATAAACTATTACCAAGCATGCGCACGAGACCAACATACGAAGGGTGGAAACCGGGAGTTCTAGTTGCCCACAAGCTTTTAATGTAAGAAGAACACATTAATATCAACAATATTTTAATATGACCTAACACATGGTTTGAGAGTTAAAAAAATAGCTTTTATTTATCTTTGTGTAATCAGCTCATAACAAATTGTTTACAGATGGAATATCATAAAAATAGAAGGGATCAAAGAGACACATTAAAATTAAAACTTTGCTAAGGGGTAACTACTACCGAGACAATACAACATAGTACAGTTTTATTTAGGAACAGAAGAGCAAATTAACCACTCGTCCACTCGTAACATTCGCCTTAGAACATTTAGAGTGATGTGATAATTGGTGCACACGTCAGGCCACTAAAATGAATGAAAGAAAACCTACTAAATATAACTTCTTCGCTCTTAAAATTGTGATCACGATTGTACAAATATATGTCTATTGACACACATATAGCTTATATAAAATGATACAACTAAATTAAAAAAAAATAAAATACTACTGGTTAATTAAAAACACTATTTTTCCTCTTCCTGCAACGGAAACGTTTATATCGACATATGTCATAAATCCAATATATAGAATAGAATATAATATAAGAGAATAAAATATAATCCATCCTCTACTTCTGGTTATCTTTAGTTGTGAGAGCTCGAGTATGCTCGAGGCTATGCTGTTCGTTGTATAGTCTACTATGCACCTGCGTAAAGATCTTAAAGCTGATTTTGTATTTCTAGGGCTTTTAACATTTTATTGATTCGAAAAAGCATATTTGAATTGAGGTGATGGAATCAATTGTGAGCTATGAAACTTTTTGCGGACCACATGAGGTGTCTACAGAAACCTTTTTCTAATCGCCATTTAGAATGAAATAAATGGGATATTTCTGACAATTTTATTTACTTTTTCTCGACACCTCAGAACTCATTTTGCAATAAAAATAAGCTAAAAGTCTTACACGTTATAAACAATCACAACCAAAACTGTAGACGAGAGAGAAGACGAAACAACAGAAGCAGCGTTTACGCCGCCTGTTGGTAGTAGAAGCAGGAGGAAACAAACTGACAGCAATTTCGGGCGCGATTGATCCTAGTCTAATTAAAGGCGAGTATTCCCCAAGCCGTTGCAGCAGATTATTGCCGGAAGTTTATTGATTTCTAGGCCTAAATTTCACTTATAATATTTATATATTTATTTTGACTTAAACCGATTGAATGCTTCTAAATATTTTTTTTCCAAATGGCTGTCAAAATCTTGAAAACGTTTTCGCGGTCCACCGATTTGTGGTCACGCACTACATGTTGGGGAAAGTCCTTGCTAATACATTTTACAGTGTCCGCAAGAGTATTACAGTGTCCGCATATTACATGATAAAGTTCACACAGTTTCTCTTAATTTTCAACAGATTCACAACATTTGGTGAGAAGAATCCAAAAAGTGGACTTTCAACTGGCTGAGAGTTTGGTCCTACCTCGTAACGCATTTGGCAACTGGCTTGTTTAGGTTTGCAGGTCGACTGCTTTTATTAGGATTTTCTTACTATCTTTCTTTAAAAGATATCCTCAGAACTGAAGTAATGTAGGCAATATATTCAAGTACGTGTTATGTAAGAAGAACTTCAAATCAAAAGAAACATTCAACATATATAATTTGTATTTTTAAACTTTTAAATAAACACATAAAATGAAAGAATGCCTATAAACAATATAGTAGTAATAATGGTATGGACGAATTAAAGTAAAATCAATTGCTTTGGAACCATAGTGTAAAATTCGTAAAAAATAAAATCTCCACTAAAACAGATGCATATGAAGACTATGTTACACATACAGTAAAAATGCTTCATTTTTAAATATTTTAATAATTTTTATTAACGTGTGTGTTTCGTTAAAATTATTTGACTATACAGAGATAAAGAACGTACTTTACCAGCTTTATAACTGTAGTTTCTATATGCTATTGAAGGGAGCGACAAGAACCTATTGCACTTTCTCATCAGTGAGATGTGCATCTTAAAGGAGAAACTCTAAAAGGAAGCTCTTAAACGACATCTACTACTTCTGTTTTGTATTATGCCCGAATTGCGTGATGATAAACGAGGATCGAAAAAATACGATCAGAAAATTCGGTCACCAGAATATGCTCCATAACAGTAGCTCCATTACCCGACAGTGAATAAGTTGCCATCAAAACTTCACCTGTCATAACTGGTACCCGAATATGACGCAATGGCCAATAGAGTTGAATATTGAAGCAATAAACGTGTTTTTACGAGTCACAGCTGAGCGACGGAAGTTCGTGACAGAGCTTTGTTAGATGGGCATGCAAAGGTATCGGCTCAGGGAGTCCCGTGTGTATAAAAATACATGAATATAAAGAAGATAATATTTACTCGTCAAGATCATCGACAGGAAATCTTATATATTCCATTTTTAATTAAATATATTCTTTCGCGTCCACAGACGGCTGTAGTTTAATTAGTCTGCGATGAGCATAATGTTGTGAGCTCGAATCCAGAGAATTGCACAGATGTTTTTTAAATCGTAACAACTGCGTGGAAGGCAATTTTCTCACCATCTATCTCACATCATAGATATTCAATAATTGATAATTGATGATAATTGCTTATAAGAGGCATAAAGCTATAAACGAGCAAAACGTCTGAAAGATCGATCCTTCAAATCAATATCAAACAATCACACGTAGCATACTGTACATTCATTTACGAGAATGTTTACCCGTTTATTTTGAAATACACCACAGAGGTCGTTGATCAACCTCATATGAAACGATAGCATCTGGACGGTGCTTTCATCCGCCCCGACCTTTCAGTCATCCTAACCCTTTCCTGACTGTGTCGCCGAGACTCGCAAAGCGACAACAAAGCTGCAAAAAAATGCATTCCTCAATGCGTAGCTCAGGCCACGCAATGCGGCGTCTGCGGTTTCACCGCCGCAGGTAGCGCCGCAGAGGAGACGTGGTGGGGCGCACCGCGCAGGGGAGACAGGGAAGGGGTTGCAAGGGGGTTGGAAGGGGGTTGGAAGGGGCCCATGAGAGGGGCTCCTAGTGAGAGGTTTCCGATAATCGTCACGGATGGTAATGGGTCATATGATTAGTAGTCGTGAAGCGGGCGAGCGGGTATTCGTTTCTAGGGACAGCGTAAATGCAACGTTTCCTGAGCACCTTTGTCCCAAGCCAAAAAATCTTGGTGCGGCCTTAGGCCAGGGTGCTGAGCGGCCCTTGCGGTTTCATGACC